GGTCACCGTGCTATTAGATACGCACGCATAGTCTGTACGCGGTAACGTACAGAATCGGTGATGGACCACACACATCATCACAACTTTCTAGATTTCCTTTTACGAACGTCTATCAACTTTCCTTTACTTTTATCATCCTCCTAGTAAGTCTATTGCTACACGACGTATTTTACAATATAACAAGTCTTTTAGAATAGTTATTTCCTGTAGAGATGATTATTTCATATTAGGCGGATCGGTGATCGCTATGGTCGGTGCCTCTGAATGACGACTTGATGGGTCGCATGTTGGCACGGCTGGTTGGCAATTATGGCTTGATGGGCCACAACGTTGTCAATCGGTTTGGACGAAGACAAGCAGTCTGATGTCCGCCAGAACCGATTTCCAACTTTATCTAAATGGAAAGGGCAAAGCAAAAGCCATCGAGGCACCACGTGTTGGAATTGCTCTCTTGGAGACCATTCATTGGAAACTCCTTGATCGAAGCAGTTTGACACGTCCAATCGGACAGACGGACAAATGTCCGTTTGGTCCGTTTATTCGGGGGATTGATTCCTATGAGTCGGTTTTGCAGGGAATCTGAAAACATGGAATTGTGCGCTTGGACTATCAAACTGTCTGAGCGCCACAAAAATCCCATACTGAATCCTGCGGGAGTTCTGTACGTGGGTTTTTGTACCGGCCTTTCTGGATTGCATAACATCCAGTAAAGCTTTGGGAAATTTGAGTTTTCGTGCAAGGTTTTTGTCAGTAACTCATAGAGTGTCTAGATGAACATGATGAATGATGTGATGTATGAGGACATACGGACAGATGATCTAGTAAGTCGTAAGACGACTAACTCGATCCTGACCTCCTCTTTGTCTGTAGCTTATGGACGAAGACATCACCCGATCTACCTCCTCTCAAGCGTGGCACTATGCCAATACTAAAGAATACAGGCACGTATTTACAACTAGTCTAAAGCTAAGTAAGAGGAACGTGGTCGATGTACCTATCATGTATTGAGGTGGTTGCGCGTGGACTAGCTGGCTAAAGCATAGTTCTACTGAGAATGGCATTCAATTTGACGCCTCCCAACGCTTTAGTACAAATGTCGGCCCAATTTTCACTGGTATCACACCAAATGGGTTTGACAATTTGTGCAGCAACGGCCTCACGGACACAGTGGTAGGAAATCGCAACATGTTTCTTCTTGAGATCCGCTTCAGGAATGCTAGCAGTTTGGATCACTCCGAGGTTGTCTCCAATTAGATTGGTAGGTTCCTCAACAGGAACGCCCAGTGACAGTAACATGTACCTGAGGGACATGGCCTCCTCTACTGCAGCGCGCATTGCGATAAACTCCGAGCAATATGTGCTTGAAGCAATGCAGCCCTGACGTTTAGAAGTCCATGAAACGAGAGTACTTTCGACATACACGAGCGGACCAGTGATAGAGCGACAAGTCTGCAAATCGTGGGCCAAATTGGCGTCAAAAAGCACACTTCTTTGTACCGGTTTCTCGTAAGCTTTTGGTTCCTTGGGGTCACGATCTTCTTTGGTATCCGGATATTCCTTCAAGAAATCTGGGATAAAATCACCTTTCTTGTCAAGTAGAGTAGGATGGATTTCAAGGGGATCGGAGCAGACAGGAAGTTGCTTGCTGGGAAAACGCTTCAGGTATCCAAAAAGATAAAAAGCTAATTCCAGGTGTCCTTGGCGAGGAGCAGCAGAAAAACGACTTAACGAGGCAACTGCATAAGCAATGTCCATACGTCCGATCGTGACGGCCCACTGGGCCATGCCCACCAACATCTGATATTGGCGTTTTCCGGCATCGTCAAGGAAATCTGAAGTATCCGTTTCAGGATGAGAAGCTGGTCCTTCAGATGGTGCAGGAGTGTAATGAACACAGAGCTGGGATCCGTTAGGTAGTAACGCTTGGATCCGGCGAATGCATTCTTCCACATAGGTCTTGGAACCTGTCAACCAAACCTTATTTGCATCATCAAAGTAATAATCCATACCAAGGTAGTAGTCTGGCGCACCGGAGCATTTCAATTGAAAGGCACCAGCAATAGCATTGACCCACCGTTGAGGATCCTTGGCTACAACTTTGAAGTCGTCGACATGAGTGCAAAGATAATCGTACCCAGATTCGTCTTCACAGAGTCTCATCCAGACGTCACGGTTGTACCGAGTAGGTTCAAAATCAATTGTACGCATAAACGCAGCAAAAGTTTCTCTGTAGGCCCTGGAGCTAGACCTTAAGCCGTAGAGGGCCTTGTTGATAGTAACAACAGCGCCTTCACGCTCTCCAAACTCGGGGCCAGCAGTAGAATGTATCTCCTCTAGGCATTTGGCAGTAATGAAAGCATTGCCAACATCTCCATGGAGAATAGTCAAACCATCACGGTGGGCAATCATGTCTAGCAATCTGACACTGACACCCTTCACAACAGTAGACTTAGTCAAGATCCCTCGGGGGTCCACGAGGTGACCTCCGCAAACCAATCTTCCTTTGCGTCGTCCATCTTGCTTGGCTTCAAAAATCATTTGCAAAGGAGCAAACTGAGAGTTTGGGCCAGGCTTGTAATCAGACGGGTGAAAGGTAAAGCAATTCATTGCAATGAGAGAGGCAATCTCTTTCTCCATTGCCTCTCTCCATAGGTGGTTTCCGTTTTCGTCATCAATAGCAAGCGCTTGTCTAACGGTCCGCGGAATCGGAATGCCATACTTGACAGGAAGAGGTCGTTGGAGACGTCCAGGCTTCTTGGCACGTCGATTCTGGCGGGGGGTGGACTTCTTGAAACACTTGGTGTATTGAATCTGGTAGCTGTCGTCTTCTTTGGGACAGGAAAATACTTGGTCTTCCTTCATAGGCTTGGAATAACCGTAGTACTTTACAAATCGACTGATGACACGTTGAGTCTTTTTCAAGAACGTTCGTGCCCAACGTTGGTGTGGTCCATGCTTGTGGTTACCGGAACAGGACCCAATCTTGTTGGCACAGATGTACTTGGCGGTCTCATAGGGAAAATCTTCACGACAAGCGCAATAAGTTACCCAAGAGGTTTCATCAGTCTTCCAGAGAATTCGGAGAAACAGGACTCCCTTACGAAATTCATGCCCATTTACCGAATCAAAAAGGTCTTCATCATCCAAAATACCAGCTATGTTTTGGAGATGGACGTCAAGCGACTCCGGTGTCACATGGTGATCATCGAGGTCTCCATCGGCAGAATGAACCGAGTCATCACCAGCTAACTGAACCAAAGCATCATCATCTGATTCTGAGGCATGTTCACCTTGATCTGTCACTTGGGTGTGTTCCTCTTGTGTTACCGGCGCTGGACACTGAGCCGGTTTGCTCGGTCCATTAGGTGTTGCTTTGACAGTGGCAGCAGGCACAGCTGCTGCAATCTCTTAATCCCTTGGTGGCTGAATCGCAGGTTCTGCTTGTTCTCTCGGTAGTTTGGAAGCAGAGTTTGTCACGGTCTTAACAGAGAGAGGCTGGAGCTCCTCTAGATCAGTTCGTAACAAAGCATCATCGGACGTAGGGTCGGTACGAAGTCGTTTCGAAGGAGGTGTTCCATATACTTCTTCGATAGCTCTTTCATACTCCTCTACAGTGTCCAAGGGTTCGGGCTCCTCTTGGATGGTCAATAGTGGATTCGGCGCCCTTTCAGAAAGTCGAGGCGGAAAATCAGGATCAGCTATTCCCTCCAAGATGGTGCGTTCATCCTTCTTGTAAATTTCGAACTTTGTCTTCCCCTTTCGGACCACAACAGGTGCGGCCTCGCGAACATGCCGCGGGCGGATGACGGAGCGGGTAAAGATCCGACGTGGTTCTTTGTCAGAATCAGGATCAGTGACTATCACATATGTAAAATCATCACCAGAGTCAAGACTGAATCCCAGGAACCGCGCTTTCATCATCCTCTGTCTTGGAAACGCTCCTCTAGGATTGTAAAACCATACAGGTTGCCAGAAAGAGAATCTGCATTTGCTTATATCCGGAACACCTCCAAATTGAAATTCCCAAGAGGTTCGGAAGCGTAGCGATCTCTTGTAGGTTCTTGCTTTCACAAAAGCAACGTATTTGACACAGTAACACCAATACTCAGTAGGAGCACCAGTAGTCAACAGAATGTGTTGGACCACATGTTTCAACCTTCCACCTCTTGGCTCAGCAAGGTTCTGATTCGGGTGGTGTGGTTCAGTGTACTTGGAGGACACTTGGTACTTTCGGAGTTGGCGATGGAACTGCTTGGAACGGAATTCTTTTGCATTATCTGACTTCAAAGTGTGGGGGGTTCCACAGTGGTCAAAATGCGCCTCGAGTGTTTCCGGGGATTCACTCTTGCGCTGCATCAGAATGGGGTGGTTGTATCCGGACCTCTGACTTGAAAATAAATTGAAGTACAAAAATCCACGAACCAATTTGATGTTGGCCTTGAAGGTATCAAGAAAATTGACGTCCCGACGACGCTGATAACGCAGACATGTTAGTCTAGATTTCAAATGGTCTCTCATAATCTCACGACTTTCGGCCTCAACAGTGGGAACCAGTTGAGTGGTCGCGGCGAGAGTGTGCTTCAGGACATCATCCGGAGGAAAAGCCATCGTTCGCTTCCAATCAATCTTTTCTGCTGGGAAGCGTCGAGATTTACTGCGGGCAGAAGGCTCATACTCCTCATCACTGGTGAATACAATTTCCGGCAAAGTTCTCATTTCTTCATCAGTGATGGCCTCCTCACGGTAATAACACTTGAATCCATCAAAGAATAACGGAAGTGTATGGCCACTAATCACACAACATTGAGTTCCATAGTCACCTCTTGGTGTTAGTGCATCAGATGGGCACTCATCCACAGCGTTACCAGCAGCGCGGGCTTGAGCTGGAGGGAGTAAAGATTCATGTTGGTGTGGGTTAGTGTCGTGGAGGACTTCATGGGCTTTACCACAATAGGTGTTGCCGTGTTCATCAATTATCTTAGCGGCAACTGATGACACTGGTAAGACAGTACCAATGTCTCGACCTGCAATAGGCCCTGTGAGTGCAATATGTCTTCCAGTGATTCCAATCCTCCTCCAAACATAGCCTGCCAAGAATTGGTCGGCGCCACTGTTGGTAATCAGGATGGATTCGGTGGGATGGGGCATGGGTGTTAGACGGCGGAGCGCCCGTTTTTGTTGTTGTTGGGCACGTCTGCGTCCCTGTCACCACTCTGTAATGGTAACGTGGGCTTGAGATGTTTTTCCGGGACAATCCGTCCGCAGTTTCTTGTAGTAGGACTGGATCAGCCATTGTTTTCCACTTTTGTTTGGCTGTGCGTCAGAAGGACCTTCGTCACCGTCTTCACCATCTTTAGTAGCTCCTCTACGATCTTTTCGTTTGACACCAATGTACTTTGGTCTCATGCCAAACTCTCGATCGATTTTTCCGGGTTGTAAGTTGGTACCGTGGCATGTGTCGCGCCAGGTCAACATCCTCTTGAAGAGACCATTCGGAAAACTCTTGTCCCAACCGATTGGAAACTGAGGAATGTGCCATTTTGGATACTCTTTTGAATAATCCTTATCAAATTTGACACCGGTCCTCTTCTTGTAGCTCTTGTTCGTTGCTCCACGGCGAGCCACCACAGCACCGTCGTTTAGGACAGGGGAGTCCTCGTCAATGAGAGCTTGTGTTTTACTGTGGGAGCGTAATTGTTTGAGATACTTGTCAATGGAAGCTAACGGGTACTTCACAATGTAACATCTCATGTCACTGTATGTATCAGAGACAATTGCCTTGAGGAGGAAAACATGGCTTGTTGCCAGTGATTGATTACTTTTCCGCAATCTTGTAGAATTAGACCTCCAATTGGAAATAAAATCAGGAACTGTAACTTCGTGAGTCAACTTGATGGAAGTCAACTCGTCAATTGCATACATTACAAAATGGGCCTGATCCTCCGGAGATTTGTAGGTCTCCAGTAATTGTTGGTAAAGGTCGTAGGCCACAGTTTGTCCCCTCTTTTCTTTCACTTCATCGGCAATATGGCTAGCAGTACCATCATTCAGAGCTTTTGCGATTGCGTAGAAACCCTGACTTGATGCATCCTTGTGCCAAGTAGATTGTTCATGGAACTTTGCACATCCGTTAGAGCAAGTTCTATACCAGATTGTCCAAATTCCAAAGCAACCTTAGATGTCCAAGGCCAATATACAGTAGATTCGCCACTGAATGGTTCGACCTCTGGACAGCGAAACTTCATGCCTTGACGTTCGCCAATTGCTTTTGTCAAATCAATAGGAGTAGTAGGCATATTTTTTTTTGCTTGGTCAATCGAAAATTGCACAATCTTGTGGTAGGTAAGACTGGGATCGATGACCACTGAAGGGGCAGATGCGTAGAGGAGAAACTTCTTGAGGCGCCCAGTGATGACGCCGCGAATTAGGCCGCCATCAGGGAGGGCATCCTCTCCATGACTGAGTAAGTCATCCACATCCTGTCCTTCAAGATATGACGGTTTCTCAACACCAATGTGGTCAAAGAAAGTCTGAAGCGCGTCAAACATCGGTTTGGTCGGATTCTCCTTGTTAAAGACAATCTTTGTGATGAGCAACGCCTCCGGTTTGGTGAATTTATCATGCACCACAGGAGGAAGTGCCGCGGCAACATTTTCATCAACTGTATTGCCAGTTTCCTCAGGATTTTCACCAGAAAAATCAACAGTCTTGCTAGGAGTGACAAAACTATTGTCAGCGGGTGTAGTTGAAGGCATAATATGAGCTTAGTTGGTAGAACTGCGAAGCGACTTGTTAATCGTCAGTAACTCATAGAGTGTCTAGATGAACGTGATGAATGATGTGATGTAGGAGGACATACGGACAGACGATCTAGTAAGTCGTAAGACGACTAACTCGATCCTGACAGTTTTTGCTTTGTCCATTCCATGTAGATAACAAGTCTTTTAGAATAGTTATTTCCTGTAGAGATGATTATTTCATATTAGACGGATCGGAGATCGCTATGGTTAGTGCCTCTGCATGACGACTTGATGGGTCGCATGTTGGCACGGCTGGTTGGCAATGATGGCTTTATGGGCCACAAAGTTGTCAATCGGTTTGGACGACGACAAGCCTGTCCTCGCTTGTCTGATGTCCGCCAGAACCGAAATCCAACTTTATCTACATGGAAAAAAGGGTAGGGAGAATGGTAAGCGTTTCGTGAAGGTTGTATGAGCTGATTGTTGTTTTTCCACCGCTCCCACCGTGTCTTTCTTCTTCCCATTGAACTTGCAAAAGTGCGACGCGCCGAGAGCCAAGAGGGCCAAGAGCCGACAGTCGCCATGGAACTGACCCACAGAGGCGGTCTTTCCTCAACGCAAGAAGCTTGGACGAAAGAAGGAGCGGTCGCAGCGCTGGATCCAACATCAGCCGCACCGTGGAGACCTTTCCGTTTTTCTCGCCCGAGGCGGCAGCTGGAGAGATTGCTTTTTGTAATTTCAAGGCCAGTTGTCGTCGGTCGTGTGGGGGAGTGATGGAGCTCAAAGGCAAGGTGTATTGTTGCTTTGTGGGAAATCAAGGAGGCTGTTTTTGGCGCGGAGTCGGAGGCCTATCTACTGTTCTTGGCCTCCCTCCATCAAGCTACAATCATCCTTTTGTTTTTCAAGTGTGCTGGGGCCTGGACATTTGACGTCACGACTGGAAGTTTCATATTGAAACTCAGGAGCGCCATGCCACAAATCGTCCCCCCCCCCTTTGTCCACAAGTGATCTTCAGTGGCAACGCCGCCTCCATGTTTGCGGGAAAAACAGGAGCGCCAGCGCTAAGTCCTCCAAGATGAGATCACTGACTGCACACACACACACACACACCAGTCCACCATTTGATGTGCCTGTCCTCTAGCAACATGGGTGTGCGCAAGGGTGCAGCTCATGTGATGTTCCTGCTGAACATCACGCTTTTGGACGTCTGTCCTACTCTGATCTTCAGAGTTAGGAGCGTGTTGGAATTGCTCTCTTGGAGACCATTCATTGGAAACTCCTTGATCGAAGCAGTTTGACACGTCCAATCGGACAGACGGACAAATGTCCGTTTGGTCCGTTTATTGGGGGGATTCCTATGAGTCGGTTTTGCAGGGAATCTGAAAACATGGAATTGTGCGCTTGGACTATCAAACGTCTGAGCGCCACGAAAATCCCATACTGAATCCTGCGGGAGTTCTGTACGTGGGTTTTTGTACCAGCCTTTCTGGATTGCATAACATCCAGTAAAGCTTTGGGAAATTTGAGTTTTCGTGCAAGGTTTTTGCTTTGTCCATTCCATGTAGATAACAAGTCTTTTAGAATAGTTATTTCCTGTAGAGATGATTATTTCATATTAGACGGATCGGAGATTGCTATGGTCAGTGCCTCTGCATGACGACTTGATGGGTCGCATGTTGGCATGGCTGGTTGGCAATGATGGCTTCATGGGCCACAAAGTTGTAAATCAGTTTGGACGACGACAAGCCTGTCCTCGCTTGTCTGATGTCCGCCAGAACCGAAATGCAACTCTATTGTCGTGAAAGTGTTGTACAGTCAATTACAAATTTAGATTACAGAGAGTTTGTTCTGAGCGCTAAAGGCACTCACGATAGAGCACATTTTGCTTTATTCTAACATTCAATCACAAAAGGCAACAAAACAAATTTACGTCAAGAACAGCACTGCCTTATCTACAAAGGA